GCTGGCGGCCGGGACCGTTGGGGGCAGGGTGTGTGGCCTTATGACACACTTCCGGTGAAGTCAGGGTGTGTGGCATATGCTAATGAGTTATGCTAATGAGTTCCCCTAGCTCTTTTTCTACGAAACGACCCCTGGCCACACCCACCTTTTCCTTCTTATTCTGTTTACTTTGTTTATTGTCAAAACCCTGGGCTTTTTTTGTAGCAGGAACTTCTTTGCATGTTAGGCCACACCCCCCCTAATGTAGCCAGTCTGAATGAGTTTCTGCTGTTGGGTGTGGCCTATTATGCTAATGAGTTCCTGCTGGGCGTGGCCAATTCGGGAGCCAGCCAGAACTCTGTTCCTGTGCGTTCCTGCCCAAAAATAGCCCTGATCAGGACTATCGCCCAGTTCAAGCCATCTAGATTCGTTCTGTGAGTTCCACAGAGGGTAGCCGTGCTGGCCTGCAGTAAAAGAGTTCGATGTGAGTGCAGGGGGTTGGACTAGATGACCTGCAAGGTCCCTTCTGACTCTAACATTCTATGATTCTATGAATCCAGGAGCATCTTAGAGCCCAACGAGATTTTTGGGGGTGTCAGTTTTCGAGAGTCAAAGTTTCCCAACAAATCTGACAAAGGGAGCGTTGGTTCTCGAAAACCTAAAACCCGAAAATCTCGTTCTTCTCTCATGTGCTCCTGGGTCCCGAATCTAACTATCCTGGAGAACTGAGAAGTGACTCACGACAGCTCCTAACCTGCCACAGATTTTGCTAGTCTTTAAGGGGCTCCTGGACTCTTGCTCTTTTCTACAAAGTATTCTGTAAGTTTTAACTGATCACCTTAAATCTTTACATGAATGGCTTGTGGTGGTGTCTGTATTCAGGTAACACTCACTCATGTTTCTGCAAGCACGAATGGTGGCATTTCCTTTCTCGCACGGGAGAGAACTCTTACTGACGCCAAGCGCTGACACTGACATCTTCTACCATTTATCGGCAAGTTCAAATGAGATCGTTTTTATTTCAATATGTAAACCACCTTGACTATTTAATATAAAAAGGTCCAGATCAATGCTCCCTCTAAGCTGTGGAGTCTTGTGAGCAAAAATTCTACCTGGTGAGCTACTGGCATTAAAGTTGTGAGCGAGCGATTTGGCTGCTGCATGAATCAGTTTGCTCTGGAGGCCTCCTTCCTGAGCTAAGACGAAAATGTGTGAGCCAGAGGCTAAAAAACTGTGAGCTAGCTCACACTAGCTGAGCTTAGAGGGAACACTGGTCCAGATCTCTCTCTAAATACCTATAAATTGCGAGAACTTTTCTGGTGTGGGGGGAAACGTGCCGTCCAGTCACAGCTATGGTGACCCCAGTAGGGTTTTCAAGGCAAGAGATGTTCAGAGGTGGTCCACCACTGCCTCCCTCTGCAGAACGACCCTGGTATTCCTTGGCGGCCTCCCATCCAAATACTAGCCAGAGCCAACCCTGCTTAGCGTCCAAGATCTGGCTGGCCTAAGCTACTGAGCTGACCAATTTTTGAAAAAAAAAAAACTGAT